CGTTCTCACTGAAACCAACTCAATATGACGTACCGCCTCAGCCACGAAGACTATACGGTGGGCTGGGTCTGCGCTTTGCCCATCGAGCTCACCGCGGCTCAGGAGATGCTCGACAACGAGCATGATGACCTCCCTCAGGACAGCGATGATGCCAACACATACACTCTTGGAAACATTGGCGAGCATAATGTTGTCATTGCCTGCCTGCCCGCAGGCCAGACCGGCACCAACTCTGCCGCAGCGGTGGCAATGCAGATGAAGTCCACCTTCCGCGCGATTCGATTCGGACTCATGGTTGGGATTGGAGGCGGCGTCCCTAGCCGAGAAACCAACATTCGACTCGGAGATGTTGTCGTCAGCGAGCCAGGCAAGGGCCATGGTGGGGTCATCCAATATGACTTTGGAACGACGACGCCGAATGGTTTCGAGCAAACAGGCTTCCTAAATACTCCTCCGCCAATACTCCTCACCGCTCTCTCGAAGCTACAAGCAAAGCATAACCGAGGCAAGAGTAATCTCTCGATGCACATTTCCAAACTCGGCAAGCTTCCCCAGTTCAGCCGCGACCAGACTGGCGAGGATGTACTATTCGACGGAGGCTACAACCATGTTGGAGGGGATGACTGTATGCTATGCGACAACACACAGAAGCTGCAGCGGAAGGCACGGATAGTCGATACACCTGAAATCCACTACGGCACGATCGCATCGGGAAATCAGGTGATGAGAGACGGGGCGATACGAGACCGAATCAGCTCTGAATTGAAAAAAGTGCTATGTTTTGAGATGGAGGCGGCGGGCCTGATGAACAGGTTCCCGTGCTTGGTGATCCGTGGAATTTGCGACTATGCCGACTCTCACAAGAACAAGAGATGGCAGCCGTACGCAGCTGGAACTGCGGCGGCATACGCCAAAGAGCTGCTGTTAGTAATGCCGGCGGTAGATGTGATGAAGACACAAACGGTCGCTGAAGCAACACAAGGTTAGTGTAGTTCCTAGACCTCTATATAGAGAAATCAGACTCACATATCCTAGGGATGCCTATTTTCTACCTCCCTTTCCTACGAAATCGCCAGTTTGTCGGTCGAAGTGCAGAGCTTGATGTACTGAAGCAAAAGCTGCTTGTGAACAAAGACTGCCAGAAGGTGGCAATCAGCGGCCTTGGTGGCATCGGCAAGACACAAGTTGCGCTACAATTCGCATACTTTGTGAAGGAAAGCTATCCAGAATTCTCCGTCTTTTGGGTCCAAGCGTTGAGTATAGAGACTTTTGAGCGCGGATGCATAGAGATGGCAACAGCATTAGGAATACGTCAGGAAAGCAAAGATGACGTCAAGAAACTAGTACAGCGGCGATTATGCGGAAAGGCCGCGGGCAAGTGGCTGCTTATCATCGACAACGCCGACGACCTAGACTTACTCCGTGGTTCTGAGCAAACGGAAGGTTTGCTAACCTTCCTACCAGAAAGTGAAAATGGCCTGACCATATTCACGACGCGC